TGAAGAGACTTTCTTGCAAATCTCTTCAACGTGGCTACCCCAAGAGAGTTGGGCATCTATAGTAAGACCCAAAGATTTGGTCTTGTCGACTCTCTTGATAATTTGGTCATCAATTCTGATTTCTAAGTCGTTACATTGGGCAGATAGTCTTTGTCTTGATCCAATAATCATTAACTCTGTTTTAGCAACATTTAGACTGAGCTTGTTAGCTTTCAGCCAACGGCTAAGGTTATTCAATTCAGGGGTTAGAGCTAGCTCAAGCTCTGTTAATGTCTTAGCAGATATCGTAAGATTGGTGTCATCGGCAAACATTCTTGGTGCGGCGCCCCGAAGGGAGTTGGGAAGATCATTAATGTATATTAAAAATAGCAAAGGACCCAATATGCTACCCTGCGGCACGCCGCAACTGAGGGTACAGGCAAATGATAGTTTGCCACCGACACTACATCTCTGGGTTCGGCCACTCTAGTACGACGAGAACCACTTAATAGCTGCCAGATCGACACCCAAGTAGGACATCTTGCGCAAGATTATTTGATGATCAATGGTGTCGAATGCCTTACTAAGGTCAATAAAGACAACGCCGTTTAAGAGACCATTGTCGATATTTACCGACCAAGAATTTGTTGCCTCAAGCAAAGCCGTTAGCGTACTATGTAGAGAACGGAACCCTGATTGGCAACCCAATAGCAATTTGTTATCATCTAGATAACGAAAAAGTTGATTGTAAACAATTCTTTCAAAAACTTTGGAAATTATAGAGATTACAGATATTGGTCTATCGTTGTTAGGACCCGATTTAATACCCTTTTTGAAAAGAGGAGTCACTTTGGCCGTTTTCCAATCATTTGGATATATCCCCGTGAGGATAGACTTAGAGAAGGTTGAGGTGAGAGAGGGTGCGATGATATAAGCAGCCATTTTCAATAATTTACTCGGAATCATATCAAGACCAGTGGCTTTCTTTTCGTCAATTTTCTACAAAATGTTAGACACAATATCAACGCTGGGAATTTGTAGAGAAAACGAAAGAGTAGAGTGTTTTAAATAAGACTCAGGATCAATATCAACGACAGGAATATCTTGTGCTAATACTTGCGCAACGTTTGTAAAGTGATCGTTAATAGTTTCCGACTTACTAGTATTACGTGAAGTTAGCTCGTTGATCACATGCCACGTTTTGCGCAAATTACCGTTAGTGGCTTCCAGGTTTTCGGAAACGTAGAGATTTTTCGCAAGTATGTGACAAACACACACGAGTTAAATGATCATGCGACGATTTTCTCGTAAAAAGAAAAACAGAGATCTTATGGAAAGTATTTTTTATTTCCAACGACGATTAATCTTCCAAGATTTACCTCTGTTCCGTTTTAAAATATCACGGAAAGTCAAATTGTAAGTGAATGCAAATATGTGTTTTGGAGTAGTCAGTCTGCTTGTTTGTTTTCTGTAATGGCGTGTGTAAACCGGTTTTTCTTCCACCGAAAAGCTGAAGTCAATGAGACTCTTTCTACCTAGACACAAGGAGATTTAATGCGACTTTTATTCATTGAATTCCTGCGTTTCTGCCGTGAAATTTACGACGAAAGTGTATTTTAGGATTTTAATAATTTGGATATATCAACAAAGTTGAAATGATAAATTGGCCACCGTAACGATTACAAAAGCTGACGTTTCGAGCGTTAGCCCTTCGTCGGAGCGAAGGATTAGGATTTTAAACTGGTGCTGAATAAAATTCTTTCTTAGACTAAACTTATAAATTCGTTTGTATCTGGCGCATGTCAAACCCATTTGTAGCTTAAAGGTCAAACAGGGACTGTCACTCACTAAATTGGCTCGCCATTAAGTCTTGTGATCGCCTTCGTATGAAATTGTTTTTTTTTGTTGTTGTTGTTGTTAAGTCCACGTTTTACTAATCCGCGTTTTACTAGTACGCGTTTTACTAGTCCGCGTTTTACTAGTCCGCGTTTTAATAGTCTGCGTTTTACTAGTCCGCGTGTTACTACCGCGTTTTACTAGTCCACGTTTTACTAGTCCATGTTTTACTAGTCCAGTCCAGTCCAGTCCAGTCCCCGAAATACCATATGCCAGTTACAAAACGTTCTACACGTGTTTGTTTCGTTTCCCGTGTTCAGTCCGCGCGGGACTGGTAAAATTACGTCATTTAATATCATGGGATGGGCCATCTACTTAGAGAGGTCAAAGTTCAGTTTAGATGTTCGTTTGTTTTTCTCAGGAGTGTTTCTTTACGTTTTCCTTCGAGTCCACAAATCTTGTATGTCGTCACTGTAGTATTTTTCGTTTCGCTTCGTTTGTTTACGTTTGTTTCCTTTTTTGTATAGTCAAACCAGATCTTCGTGAATTAAAAGTTATTCGAGTATTCAAGTCTACAAGAACCACTTTTCAAAACTTTAGCGTTTGTAATCAGAAATCAAAGCCTTTTCTGTTCAGCTTTGTTTCAATAGCTGAATGAGGCACGACTAAGTCAGAATATAAATATAGAGGCAAGACCGATACAACGTAGATAAGTTTTAAGACGGAGCACTATTATTTCGGCTGGCCAAACCAGCCTTCTTCAGGTGCCTGGAGGCAATACTGTTTATCCCGATGGCCTTAACGCTCGCGAAGAAATGTATTAGTGTTTTTCCTTCTACTATTCTTACTTCTAGTTATTTAATTTATTCAATTTACCCTACTTTACTTCTATTTTTATTTACTATTTCTATTTTTAATAGTTATCTCATTGTCAATCAAATTAGTTTTACGTATTTCCGCTATTACATCATACAGCTATCTATGTACCACCTTAATTCTATGTCAATTCCCACTGCACCTGAGGAAGGCTGGTTTGGCCAGCCGAAAAAATATTGCTCCGTCTTAAAACTTATCTACGTTGTATCGGTCTTGCCCCTACATTTATATTCGTTATTTTGGGCCGATTAGGTCACTGCCGATCCAATATACAAGAGAAGGATTATCATCCACGGTTGCTTGCTGAACATTTCACTAAGTCAGAGACTGAATTTAAGAAATTTAAAAAATCAAAAAAGGTAAGAAGTCAATCAATCTTACGCTGTCTGGAGGCCACTCCCTAAAAATTTATTTAAACCTTCCAGTGCGCTGGCCTTATCCAACATGCTGCCCAGCTTTAAAGGGCCATTTGGCTGGAACTGTTCTATGTCTGACAGCAAGCGGGTTAGAGATTGTTGAAGACCCCTGTTGGGGATAGAATAAGATGCATACACAATTTGTAAAGAAGGGATCGACACGTCATTGTGCAAGTGAACTATATCAAACCTGAATTACCTGGTGAGCTCTTTGAGTCTGTCTATTTCTGCATCTTTCTGTTTCAAAGAAAGGCCAAGGATGGTGGCTTCTTTCTTGTCTGCTTCCGTCGAAAGGTAAACAGCCTCAAGATCTGCTTTAAGCTTGTCGTTTTCTGTAAAATATGGCCGTGGTATTGGAAGGATATGAATTCGATTTTCATCTCTTCATCAAAGAGTAACCTTAAATGAGCTATGTATTTTAAATTCAAAAGAAAATTATAGATGATAATGTAATAAAACAAAGGGATGAAGGTCTTTGTAAAATCCTATTCATTTGAAAACTGCTTGTTTCATTGGATGTTATACACATTCATGTAAGTAAAAATGTTTGATTGGGGCTTTTAAGTCCAAACTAAGAAAGGCGCAATTGGTATGTTGTTAGATGTTTTGATAAATAAGATTGAAAAGGTTCTGTTATTTCACCCCAAAACCTGTTTTGAGTTTATTTAAAATAATATCCGTGTACAACCAGACTATGTTTCTGACAGGTTGCATCGAAAAACGAGAATAAAGGTGTTAAGCAGAAGTTCAAAATGTGCTCTTTGGAAATATACCAACCAGCAGTTAGTTTGGACGAATCTTGCTGCAATTCTCGCTTCAATCGCAGATTATCTTGTTCCTGTAAGTTACAAATACAGAAGTTGGATAAAACGCCCTAAAAAGAAGGCATGCGTCAACTTTAGCGGAGAGCAACAGCTTGATTTGAATCAAGACACTGAGTAACAAGAAAAATAAGTGTAAAGTATGTCCAAGAGGAAAAGAAAACTTTTCATCGGTTGCAGATTAGATTGGATTTTTTCCTTTTTCTTTTTTTTTTTTTTTTTACCAGGAAACTGAAAAGACTGAGATGGTTTGATTATATTTTACCTTGTTTGATAGAATTTGTAGAAACTTCTTTCTTTCCTCCTTCAGTTCGTTAAGGTTCTGTCAATGCAAGGACGATTAATAAAAAACACGAAACCAACAGAAACAAACATTAAATATCAAGCCAAGATTAGCAAAGTTTATTTCAATTTATGTATAAATATGCTATTCCTATAACTTAAGTGCGATTTGTTTGATAAATAGATATTCCATACAAAAAATTCTATTTCTGACTCCATTCTTCGAAGAAGGGAAAAAAAGCAAACAGATCAAATTGTACGAGCGATCGATTTCCTTTTTTAACTCGGATACGGATATGGAATTATTTAGATACCTCCCGTCATATTTAACAGTTCCTTACTCTCTTAGAATGGTATGCTCAAAGCAAGCTCTATGCACTATTGACCAACCTCACTCGTTCAAGTTGGCCGAGTTGGTCGGTAAAGTTCTTGGTCTGTACTTTTCAGTCCAGGCCCTGGACAGTGCAAAGTTTTTCGTTAAAATGAAGGGGGGAGTCTCGTTGGCTATTTTAGCCGCTCGAGACTGCACACTATGTGGCCAATTAGAACAATAAAAATTCGCTTCGCCGCGTTGGTCACAGTTTTTACCTGCGAGAGTCGGTCCCTCTCTGTTAATACTTGCTCTTTACTGTCTTTCTCTTCTGAAAGTTGTTTCTGGAGTACACTATTCACCGACCTACAAGCTGCCACTGGGATATGGTTCAACAACAACAACAACAACAACAACAACAACAACAACAACAACAACAACAACAAAATTGAGTAAAACCTGTAGCGTTTTGGTTTTAATATTATTAATTCAGTTCAGCGAATATGACTCGAAATTCGTATCCTGCGATTGCCGCCAGTTGGATCTTATAACACCAAGCAGGAAACAAGAAATTCGGGTGAAGACAGCTCATAAGGGAGGTTGCTCTACGCTGTAAGGACTAGCAACGACAAAAGCAGCATTTGCAACGTCTGCTTGAGGTGACAATTGTCATGTCGTGATTTGACTAGCGGAATGTCGTGCGAATTGCTCTGACCAGTAAGAGCTATATAGTTACACGTTATTTTAAAGTAATCAGGATCAGATTTCGGCCGCACTTTCCTGCGCTTGAGGTCGATTGTTTCCGACCTCGTTCCGAGGGAGGAATAGAAAGGAACCTGGGAAGGAGGGTAAATTGCTTTGAGTCAGTTCGCTTTATTTCGTCACCTGCGTTTAGTGTCATCACTCTTGACTTTTCTCAAAGACTTGGCGTATTATGATTAAACATATCAATAAAGAGGGAATATTGCCGTCCCTTTACTGAGTAAATTTTTGGTACAGATGAGCTTACATTCAAAAGCTAGATCCGTCCTGCCAGAGGATTTGTCGTCGTATTTCTTTATGGATCCTTCTTTTAACTTCTGGTGAGAAATAAGGAGCTTCCTACCAATTCAATAAAGACAAATTTCAGCGCAACATGAAGATCTAAACAGTCCTTGAGGACCCATTGGCGCAAAAATCTTCGATTGGCCATTATGATACTACATGAAAAAATAATTGTCATGATTATTTTAAAGAAAAATAATTCATTTCACGAGGCTATTTTCGATACCTACGAAAATATTCGAGCAAAATATTTTTCGATGATTTTAACACCACTCAAAAACGTATCTTGGACTAGATTCTCGCTACAACGGGGGGATTGGCAGACTTTTAAAACTAAAAACAACAACGCCAACCTTTTTAACTGAGCATTTTCAACTTTATAGGCTCGTACTGCCTGTTCAGTTTCCTGAGAAACAGAAGCTGTGTGATCTTTCTCCAGGAGATAGGGTAGAAGCTTCGCCGCATTGTCTATTTCACTAAGCAAACGATCTACCTCCAAATCACCTGTTGTACAAAAAAAATGGAGAGAATTCTGGGGGATGTAAGGTACTAGATATCTAAAGTTTCAATTTGAGGAATAGGGTTTCTAAATGTATATTAAATTTCATCTAATTTAAGGCGCTACACATTCCGAAGTTCAGTGCCGGTCATTTCGCCCCGTGACATTCAAACCACAAGGTTTCTCGCGAAGTTTCAGCGGCCAGTATAAAAAAACCCGGCTACTTAATCTTGCGAGCTGCTTGCTTGTCGTAAACCAATATGTGTAGGGTGCAAACATGTGTAGGGTGCAAAATTCTAAAAATTAGTGACAAAATGGCTCGTGCCCTCATGACTCGAAAGATGGGACGTCTACTCAAAGTACTTAGCTATTTCTTCTCTATCTCTTTCACAACCGTTGCCTCCCGTATAACAAAATTAATTAGTTCCCCAACGATAAATTAACTCGCCACATTTATCTCGCCGATTATTAGTTTCTCTTCCACTGAAGGAATCGACTGACCAATCAGCTAGCAAATTTACATTTGCCTTGGCTAAGAACACGGGCTTGTGTTCTCATGTTTTGGTATAAAAGTTATACGATTCGAGCCATTATTAATTTTAGAGAGCGTTTTAACCAGTTCTGATTGTTTCGGGAGGAAAGCATAGTGCTGTCGCAAGGGAGGAAGAATCTCAAATTTCTGCTTTGAAGTATTTCATGAATAAGCTTGTATACGGCTCATCATACTGACCTGTATTTCCAAGCAGCGCTCTAAGTTCATCGATTAAGTACTCAATCATCCGTGCCTGATTTTCAGCAGAAGAAATTTCTATTCCATCCTTCGCTCTCCTGGAGCTTGCCCGAGCAGAAGGAGATGATGGGGTGGCTATTTGCCTTGTTGCTTTCCCTTCCGAAATTCCTGTGTTTGTAGAATTGGACATATTCTGAAGTGGATTTGCACTTGCTAACGATTCTCTGTCAACGTGAGGTGAAGTGTTTCCAGAAGGTGATATGATTCTGACTTGTTTCTTTGATCCTGACGTGTCAACCTCTTGCGTTACTGAGTCGTCCACACCTTGCAGCAGATCATCGTCTCCAACACGCTCACGACCCTCCCCTCCCGTCGCATCTAATACACCCTCTACATGGGGCTTGTCAAAGCCACGATCAACAGAAGTGTCACTAGCCGAAGTTTTCACCTCAGGAAAACCTGAATAATCCAGACTTTTCCGCGCTGATGGTCTCCTCGAGTGTTTCTCACTTCCAGAGTTACTCACAGACTGTCGTTCAGTTGAGTGCCTAGAAGAGGCAGACCTTTGTAAAGGATTTTTCCGCTGGTGGCTGTCGAGCTCTTGCATCATGGAGTTTTGCAGTTGTAGTTTTTGTTCTGTGTGGTGGTTGGGATCGTTCTGCTTCTAAAATGATCAAGAACATCAATGAACATCATTAAACCATTTAATACAAACGTTTCCTACCAATCCATGTACGACTTTCCGTGCCAATTCCTTGTCCCGTTTTTTCATGTGTCGTTTTTTTATTCATTTATCTTTTTCTTTTTTCTTTTTGTTCTTTCTACAGTTTTGTTGATCGTGTGTAGTCATGGCCGTTTCCGCAGTGTGTAGCCGTCTAGGAGTATTGCTAATCCACTTGGGTGGAATGTAATTGAGTACAAGATATCCTTCCAAGCTTTTTTTTCCTCTTTATCACTGTGTTGGCCTAGAAGGTCTCTTTTCACCAAGTACTCAAAGACAGTTGGTTTTGGGAGAGTAGGTACAACGGCAATGTTATGTATTATTTCTCTTAAGACTCTCTACATCTTACCTGCAGCAACTCATAACGCTGCTTGAGTTGTGACAGTTCCTGTTGCAATTCTGCCTCTCGTCTTTGCAGCTGCTGCTGTTTCTGTCGTTCCTCTGCAGTGAGAATTGGTGTGGATGACACCAAGCGGTCATTGTAAGCTGTTGAGATTCCTTGCTTTACCTCTTGGGGCCTTGATGGGGAAGGACTTGCTACAAGCCGCAGGAGTACAAACGAATTTCAGTGACATTTTAGACACTCCAATGAAAACTAGGAATATAAAATTTATCTTGACACGCCTATTGTTGATCTTGACAAAATACTCCATACTTGTCATGAACTGACGGTGAGAGTTTTTCTTTATCCTCATGATGAGAAATTGGATTGTTTTTACTTACCACACTTAAAAGGAAAACACCTTCAAAAGGTTAAAATCCATTTAGCTACAACTTGAAAACTGTACACCCCAAGAAATCTTGAGAGGGTCATTTTCTTTAACCTAATACTACATCTTATTAACCAAGCGCAAGGGCTGTACTGGGAGAATATTGGCCCGAGGTCTTGACAGTACCGACCGAGTGCAGCAAGGTCCGTACAAAAAGACCGAAGGCCGATATTCTTCCAGTACGGTCCTGAGCAAGCTTAGTTGATAAGAGATTTATTACACGACTGAAGTTCAAAGGGACACAAGTGCGGTATCATTCGGGACCATTCGGGACCATTCGGGACAGTGCCCAGTCCAATACTGAGAGAATACTGACCGGCAATAGAGCATTTTGATTGGTTGATTTTAGTTATTGGCCCTCTGACTTCTCGAGTCGTGTAAGTAGAGTAGAGTGGAGCTGTAGTTTTTATTGGGCAAATTATGAAGCTAAACAACTACCATAAAGTTATGTTACAACCAGATTCAGATTGTCAGCTACTAAACGGAGCAAGAAATTGAAAATAGGTACAAAGGAATTGGCCTGGACCAGGCACTGTACTTGACACACATCACACAAATACATTGTAAGTATACCTCTGTCGTCAGTCTTGGCAGTAGGAATCAAAACTTTTCGACTTGATGGTCTTGCTCTTTGATTGCCAAGCCTGTCTGGCTTAACTTGAGGATGTAAGGCTGTTCCTGCTCTTTTTAAAGTTGACTTAACAGGTTTCCCCATACTTGTCACCTTCGACTTAGCTGTACCATCTAAAAAACAACGAAACCTGAATCTAATTTTGATACCTGCTTGGTGCAGAGTTTGTGGCAACCTGTAAATCTTGGTTGCCTTGTTTTTCTACCTTCAACAGCTCTGAGACTACATGACTGCATGAATGTTATCTCTGAAGACAAATTAAAAGCAGACACATGGCAAAAGTCGTTCCACAATGGTCACTTGATGAGCCTGCTCTTCCCAATTATCTTTCAGGAGTTTTGGTCGTGAGAGTCATCCTTACCAAACAGATTTTCAGTTTATCGTATCCCCCAAACTTTAAACTGGTTTGATCACCCATACGTTGTGATGACTAACTAGTAATTAAGACAATGAATCTCACTGGTTACGTCTAATTGAGAACAAAATTTGATGCCTGAAAACCACTGAGAGGTGTAACTCTTGAGCTTAGCCCATAGTCTGTACAGTTTGAGCGCCTCATTCACGGAGCACCCGTGGTGCATTGGCATCACTCCAAGAGTTTCCAAGAGTTTCCCATAGCACCAGAATCATGGTTATTCTTTTCACTGACTGTTTTTTTTAATGCACAACTGAATGCTTTTTATTTTAGATTAAAGGGAATGGCTGAACTACCCCTGAATCTGCCTAAGCAGTAAAGGTAAAGAATCCAGTCTTACCAATGCATTGGCTGCCATGTTGGCCGACGCATTAGTTGATCTTACCAACGTGTCAGTAGTGATTCAGCTGACGCGTTGGTAGTGTGTTGGTGGTGTGTAGGCTGATGCATTGGCAGAGGCATTTGTAGGATCTGATTCTTTACCTTTACCACCTAAGCTGTGATCAGAATCCACCTTTTGGAAGAATTGTTCACTCAACTGAAGAACCTGTTTACCTTTGTCTTCATTGTCAAGTATATTTGACAGAAGTGCTGCACATCTGTTCAGGCCTCGGTCAACTGAAGAAACCTGTTAAATAACAGATTTATTGTTATCACAAGATCTCCCTTAAGACAACAGCTATAGTCTAGAATATTTTGACTAGAACCTAAATAGAGAACTTCATTATTTTACATGTGCATGGAGAGAATCAATGTACCAAAACCCAAGAAAAACTCATGTGAATAGTTATCACAATTTATTTTTTCTTAAGATTACATACCTGGTCTTCTGAGTCTGAAGTGTAGAGACTGTAACCTGGTTTGGTCTCCTTAACAGCTTTATGTTGTCCTTTTGAGACTCTAAAAATGGTTGAGGAAATTTGCTTCATTTGTATACATTCACTGGGTATAATTTCTGACAAACCCTTTTAACCTTGGGAGTGAATGGTATTGATAATGTGACTTTTAACAGTATGGATGCATAATCTGATTGTTCAACCCATTTTCCAAATCTTTACTTGATCACATTAATAATTATTCCAGAGGCATTAAGAGTAATTGACAAAGTAATTTTATGCAGAGACACTCACACTAATTGCATAAATAAAAGAAAAATGGCCTCCATTTTTTCCCTTTAAAGATTAATTTTCACCTAATTTCCACATGAATTTATGCTTAATGGCTAACCACTGGTAAAAGAGGGTTATTCATGTACAAAAAACTCTTTGCAAATGAACTTTGCTGATTACTTTCCAAGATCATCCTAACTATTTTTGTCATCAAACTCAGGACTGTACAGATGTACTGCTTCACATAATAATTATCCAGAAATATCTGCTTTTCATCAACATCTTGTTACGAGGATCGAATTATTTTTACTGAATCTGTCACGCAATCCCAGACTTTTCTAGAATTATCTATAATCTGTAATGTTCCAGAAACTTCTTTCATGTGACTCAGCAGTTTCCAAAAATAGTACAACTTTTAATATGCTATAAATAGTAATAGAACATTCTAGATAACTAAAGTAAATGTATAAAAGCTGGCTTGTGAGAAGTACAAAAGAGATTTGCCCAAGGGCTTACCCTCGTGGCTTGCTGACTGAACTTTTGGAAGCTATGATATGACTAGGCTATGACCTTTTGACCTTGCGATATCCGGAGAGAAGAAAGAGATGAAAAAGACGATAGTCGAGAGAGGAAAAAGACAGAGAATACAGAGTTTACTATGGAGTCTTCCGGAAGAGTTTGTGTACAAGGAAAGAATGCGATAAATCAAGAAAGCCAAGCGCTGTGGTCTTCAGTTGGCAGATGCCGAGATTGGAAGTTGATAAAGAATACAGAGTTCACTATGAAGTCCTCCGGAAGAGTTTGTGTACAAGGAAAGAATGCGATAAATCAAGAAAGCCAAGCACTGTGGTCTTCAGTTGGCAGATGTTGGAATTGGAAGTTGATCAAGACGACGAACACTTACACGGCATGAAGGATTGTAAGCCTGCTTTATGAACTGCTTAACTTAATCGTTGACCTAAGTAAATTAGACAATGTAAAACTAATTAAATGATAGTTAAAATGGGTAACTGCTTGTTGTTACATTTTTGTTGCGTGCCATATATCGTACTCGGGAGTCTATTTTCATATATGCTTTGTTAGCGGACATTTGTTGGTCATTCGTGCACGTAACAATCTACTAACTTAAATTCTGAGAATGTAACAAACATTTGTATAACAAACTAAAATCTACCACGTGCCTTACAACACAGCACGAACTTTCGACCTAGTTTGATCTATTTTCCTTTGCCCTAAATAACCATAATGATCTGAAACAAAGGAAAATAAAGATCACACCAGTCAAAGTAATTTAGACTAACAAAAAACAAACATTAAACCGCAACATTGCAACTTGAAATCATGATCATATATACCTTTTAAACGCAGGTGGCTTTGTTTTTGTGGGGAGACCTCGTGCCAACAAGGATGCCTTGGACGCCTAAGAAAATACATTGACCATAAGAACTAGTCGCTAAAGAAAATAACTGACATAAGACAGAAATGTTTACAAAATTAATATGCCCTAAAATTTTCAAAAATTAAGCACATAATTTGGTATTACAAACACGCTAATTAGCAAAATCCTGTAACAAATTAATACTATGAAAGAGTTCTTATTACCTTTACTCCCCCACTACTTTTCATGCCCAACTTTTTTCAAACAGTTTTGTTTTAACATGTTTGTGTTTGTCTCAGCAAGATCATCTGCGATCATCTTTTCCCGCCGTTACCCACCATTTTGAATTTTTCTGATAGATACGTCATGTACCGAGTACAGTCTATCTCTGGCTTTAAAGGTGAAGTGGTTCCAAGACTCCATATGGTTTTCCTACTTAATGACTTCTGAATATCATGGTTAGGGTGAATTTTATCAAGACAGGGTAGTCATATCTAGCGCTCCTCTGCTCCTGGAGACCATGTTTAATGCGAACTTTTTAAAAAAGGCAGCGATATCTGGCGCTGTTCTTTCTATTGCAGGAGCAGCTTTCTTTCATCACAAAATTCAAGGTGAGCACTAAAACGAATCGACGGCATATTTACTTTGTTTGAGTTTCTGAACAAGGTTTTTTATCCCTGTGATTTGGCTTAGTATGAAAAATTTTATTCTTTTCCTCTTTTCTGTTCCACTCCGCTTCAAGTGCGAGGAACATGAGTCCTTGGCCGCTGTGTACGTATTATGACCTAGTACCAACTTTCCTTCTCGTAAGGGAGAGTGCAAATTGATGGGAATGACCCAAAAAAAGTAAAATTCAAATTTGAACTACCAAATTCCGACATCGATGGTGAAATCTTTTTAAGACAAAATAAGATTCAAAATTATTAAGGTTATTTTTAACCGTTTAACTCCCAAGATCTTATTGTTAATTCTCCTGACCCCAACCCCTTGTAAATTAATTACAAGAATTTGAGGTTAGATCAAGATAATAGCAACGTTCGTGGGAATTGTTGCTTAGTACTTTCACAAGTTGCTCCTTGTGGATGAGTCTAAATACAAAGTCATGATCAATGAAACATAAAAACTTGCAATAAATTCGTAATTATTCAACTGATTTATTAAGTTAATTTTTTTTTAAATTACTCTGAGTTATTGTCTCTGTGGTATGTTGTTCGCACCAATCAGATTGCCGCATTTGGGTACATATTTTGCACCAATCAGATCATAGCATTAGGGTATGTATCTTGCACGTAAATCAGACAAAAGGATTGGAGTATGAAAGTGTACTGTGATCGTATGGGTGAGTGTAGTCCTGAGAAGGACTGTTGTCGGTGGTAGTGACTGATGTTTCGACAACCTGTGTGGAAGTCATCAGTGTTGTCAGAGTCAAGTGAATAGTTGTTGTCAGTAGAATGTTCTTATTTCCGTTCATGTAAAATGATTGGTCAGTTTTGCCATGATGTTATTGGCTGTAAGACTCTAGTGGCGTAAGTCAGTCGTGATTGGTCTGTTTCAATCTGTCGGTAAAGTTAGCTCATTTGGTTCAGTTCGTTTGTAATGTTTATGTCATGAATGAGTCATTTGTATGGAGCCGGTAGTAGTTGACACCTGTTTAGGGGAGTCTGTTCTAAGTTAGTAAACCAGCTTTCCAGAGTCTTACTTTCATTGGAATCTTTTGAAAGTGGATGCTCTTTTTCTTTTACAAAAATGCAAGCATTAGTTACATAGTGTCCCATTTCAACAAACCCATCCAAAAAATTAACTCTTGCATGCATAGCATACCTATGTATTTACATGCAACCTGTCAAACAGGTTTCTTTTTTACAAATTGTTTAAAATAATCAACTGTCCAAATATCTGTGCAGTATTGCTGGATATTTGTCCTTGATTTGTACATTATTTGTACCTTACCTAGTTCAATTGAAAAATATATAGATCTTATTAGACGTTTTGTTGTGTAGTATCGCTGAGTATTTTTACGAGTTGTGCCGTATTTTGACGAGCCCATAGGGCGAGTCAAATACAAATAACGAGTAAAAATACTCAGCAATATACTACACAAAAAAACGTCTAATAAGTTGTTAATTATCCAACATGCCAAACTGTTATTTCAGTGCGGGTGAATTTTGCGGATGTTTATTTATGAGGAGTGTGTGACAGAAGTATGCAAAGTGTAACAGAATTGGCGTGTTGTGTTGCTGTTTCTATTTTCTTCATTAAATGAAGAAATTTTCTGGTTGTCAAGCTGTTTTTCTTTGTTCAATTCATCTAACAAACTTGGATCTATATTTGCCAGCCATTCTGACTCTTTTTCGTCGGAAATAGGATTCAAATTGTCCATCACTTTTTTTTTTCGTAACTACAATCCAATTCTTCGCTTGCGCGATGTGAGAAAACCTGTTTAACCAGTACTCTACAATAGACGAATACAAATACCACGTGATATTTGTTCTCGTCTATGGCGCTATTTGTACTCGTCTAAGTGTAGTTGGATAAGAATTCAACTTACTGTGACAATGCTGTTATCTTTCAGCAAACATCGCATCTCAAGACTATTATAAAACATCAGTTCAGTTACTAAGAGATCATCAACTTGCTTTGGATACTCTTGGAGAACCTCTAAGAATTACTTACATGAATCTCTCATGCAAAGATATCATGATTAACCATGAGATTGCTCAGGTAAGTAAAGGATCTTGGTTATAAAAAAGATAACAAAATTAAGTTAATGGTTTAAATGTAATGATCACCCTTGCTCAAGTGAGTAACAACTGCAAATTTCTACTGGGGTACTCTGCAACTTTCCAGATATTCAAAGTATGACAGACTTCCTTGCTACAAAGCCAAACCTATCAATGGAAGGGGGCAAGGGGTATTTGGAAATAAGAACTTATCTTAACTTAGAACCTTGTTATGATTTATGTTCACTTATTTGGTAGAAATAGCACAGATGCAACAGACACCCTATGGTAGAAACTTCCTCTAACCTTGTTCATCTTGCATGGATACAATTTTTTAGACAACAAAGAACTAATTAATTTTATATCATTATTTTAGGTGGTCATACCAGTCAGAGGAAGTAATTCTAAAGGAAATCTTTATTCCTTTGCTACTAGAACAGAAGACAATGGGTGAGTTTCCCTTTCCAAAATGTTTGCTATTTGCTTGCCTTCAACTGAAGTTTTTTGTTGTCCCTAATCTTGATCATTAACCAAAACTCAACCATAGCTAAAGATAACTGGCTCCTGAAAGATTTTGCCTTTGAGTTAGCTCCCCTTGTCTGTGACATTTACAATCAGTCTCTAAGGGAGGGATACATACCAGCTCTTCTGAAATCGTGTATTGTTACACCTATCCCTAAAGTGTCTCCACCTGGACTTATTGAGTGAGATTTAAGACCTATATCTCTTACCTGTACTGTGGCAAAGGTAATGGAAGGCTTTACTTGTTCCAGACTTTTACCCCAATCGGAAGGCAAGATTGACCCTTGTCAGTTCTCCCATAAAGGGCACTCTAAATCAGATGGCCTTATATATATAAGCTTCAAGCGATCTACGAAGCAGTTGATAGTGGTGAGGCAGCGGCTGGAATATTTTTCGCAGATTTTTCTAAAGGGTTTGATTTGAACAATCACTCAATATTGATGCAGGAACTCGCAGACCTTGAAGTTCACCCAATCCTTTCATCTTGGATTGCAGCTTTTTTGACTTATCAGAGGCAAGCAGTTAAAATTGGGGGATCTCTATCAAATTGGTTAACACCAAAAAGAGGAGTCACCCAAGGAACGAAGTTGGGTGGGATTCTTTTTATGGTGATGACAAACAGACTTCTGTCCGACTGGCGGCTGCGCATTAAATACGTTGATGATACCAGTGCTCTCGAAAAAATTCCAAGGAATTCCCCTAGCTTACTCATTGTTGTAGCCTCAGACATTCAGAATTTTGCCATTGCCCATAATATGAGTCTTAATCCAACTAAGTGTAAAGAAATGCATATTAATTTTCTATGCAACTCAAATTGTCTCATTAATCCCATATTAATTGGCAGCAACGCCATCCAGTGTGTCAGTACCTATAAGATCTTAGGAGTTATTATAGACAGTAACCTGAAGTGGAACTGTCATGTTGATTACATTATTAAGAAAGCTTGTAAGAGGTTATACTCCCATAGAGTACTGCACAGAGCCAGGGTGTGTCAATCTAACATCCTGAAGATATACCTTAGCACAGTCCAGCCAGTTTTAGAGTATGCTGTACCTGTCTGGCAGGATATTCCTGCCTATCTGTCCAAATCCATAGAGCGAGTCTGAAAAACGGCACTTAGGTAATATAATTTACCCTGAGGCCGGGTCATATGCGTATGCCTTACAGCTGGGTAAATTAGATAGGCTAGATGACAGAGGAGTGGACCTGTGCCATAAATACATGGCAAAAATGAAGTCCCCCAGCCCACTCCTACACCCATCAGCTCCCCAGCCCACTCCTACACCCATCTGCTCCCCAGCCCACCCCTGCAGGTACCTAATTACAACTTCAGGCAGAAAACACAAAAGTACTATCTCTTCCGAAACATTCAGATATGTAGGACAAAGAGAATGGAGGACTTTTTTACATTTAAATATTTTAAATGATTCATTTGTTATTATCGTTATAGCCGTAAATTTTTAGTTTTTAGATAATAGTTGCCTTAAGATTGTGAAATACACTCAATAATTCAGGTCCTTTACTGCCAGAGAGTTTAATAAACTAATCATTCTTTTAAAGTGAGTAGAATTCTTCTTGATTTTCAGATGGCTACTTGAAAGAGTGGAACTTGATGTAAATCAAGGACAACAGAGGATTAAAATTTGGCCAGAAAATTAATTGGAGAGCAAGCCATATTTTACGCCATGGTTAAAAAATTTTCATTGGCATCAACTTGAGAGGGTTGAGGTGTAGGAAACATATGTTAATAAAAATGGTGTAAACATTTGTTCCTTCGGTTAGGAATCAAATGGAATCTGACACAAACTGCAACATTGGTGACCAGAAGTAACTTCAGTGAAAAGCATATGGTGGAAATGTGTTACTTCCTGCCAAGTTTATTAAATTATGGAATGTCAAAGAAGCTGGCACAGTAACAGGAATAACTTTAAACTTGTAAAACAAATTAGAATTGTTTTTGTTATATGCTACTGTAACAGTATAAGTGCATGTATGTACTGTGTGGCATAAAACATTTCAGGGAGCTTTATTGTGTGGGTTGTGGATGTTTTGCTAAGTGAGGGGGGGCAATGTTTTGCTGTCCAGGAGGACCAAAATACTGAGAACTAATTTTCACAAGTTTAACTCAAAGGAGCAAAACAATATTCGTAATATTGTATAAAGGCAAGCGACGGTGTGTGAGTTATAATATCAAGGACAAACCATGAGGTGTGTAAGTTACATGTATACAGAAAAATTAATGTCTGTACATTAAACCCTTTCCACACAGTTTGTTTTATTCAATATTCTCTTACATGGTTACAACATATCTGGTAATACTTGTAACTCAACATTTAGGTCACCCCAAGTGTTATAAAAATACCTCCTGACAATTAATTGATTTTCTACTTTGCTATCTACTTTACTGAAGGCTGGCAAATGAATTCAGATCTTCAACTTTACCACAATTACAAAGAACATTAAAGCATAACACAAGGTGCAATTACTGTGAAATTTTTTACTTCTCTACAATGTTACTTTAAACTGACTGCAAGTATCATTTTACAATAATGATACAATTCAACTCATTCCTTGCATTAAGTTCCTCTCTCATATCAGAACGCAGGCCCACCCCTTCAAATTTGCAAATTTGCTTTTGTTTACTAAGATTGACTCTGTCTTAGCTTTCTTTACTCACTTCCACAGTTGACAAAACACAGCCTTCTTCTGCTTCCTCCTAACTGCTGTTTTTCTATATACAGCAGTAGCAAAATTCTTAGAAGAAATATTCATTCCCAATACCTGCCTCAGCTATCATAAACAGCCCCTTCCTAAAGAGCTCTTGATATAAACGACCATGCCTCTTGTGCAAATGTTTGATTGACTTTAATGACACAAAACTTGACTACAACTGCATGACTTATACATGTAATCTAGCTAATATCAACTTCATTCCATACCAATTCTTTCATGCATAAGACTACCCTAAACCCTGTGTGTTCACACACACTTAAGGTGCACATCTATCTACAATTGACTTTATGGAATTCTCTTCAGAGTCACAATTTCTTTAATGACATCTAATTAGCCCTTAAGATCGGTATCAGAAGAAGATCCACAAGTTCAATACTGTGATCATCAACAATAACAATGTCAAAGGCATCCATGTAGTTGCTTAGATGTTCATCAACCTTGGAATTAACATTAAAAGGAAAGATAAATTGATGGAAATGAGATTGTTGAAGAATTCTCAATTTATTTCAAATTCAATTGAAAAAAAAAATTGACAAAACTGTAGCTATTTCACCCTATAACTCCCAAGAAAACGAGTAATTCTGATTGACTGCCATATATTAAACAGGAGTGTTAGGTGTTACATACAGTACATCAGAATAACACCATAAAGCTCATGAACCTGTCTGTTTTCATGACCTGTTTGCAAGATATTTTGAATTGCAATTGAGAAGTTTAAAATGACTGGAAAAAATCTATCCCTTTAAAAGTTAATTAACCCACACACCACGTGGTGATTCAATAAAAAGAATTGCTTCAATTTATTAAATCATGGTACATTTAATCAACCTTAAGTTTCTAAAAATTATACAGTTTTACATGTAAAATATTGACAGTTCCAAAGTAGGTACTTTAGATTTCTTAAACTTTCCTCAAACATTATTTTCATTTAACACCCCTGTCCTTATCATACCTTCTCATTCAGGAAACCCACTGTTAGGGTAACTTCTGTGTTTTTAGGACTGTCTGAAACATGAGCATCATCTGGCAAGTCACCCATCACAATGACATTTGTACGTTCCTACAGTCCGAAACCAAATAATTCAGGGTTTTCATGTGGACACCTGATTGAAACACTGTTAAGTTAATTAATTTAACATCTTGGTCCCTATGAAACAAAGTCCGTGAATCAGATGTTTGTCTAACTCACATGCAGTTAACATGCTCATTTCAAAGTCAATCTTTTAAAAATTTTAAGCAATTAATTAATCTAGTAGAAAAAAAGCCAACAGTGGCAGACTATCCACGAGTCTCCCAAAACCAGAATGAACTTCCTGGCCTCCTAGTCTCCTAGACGAAAGTACATTATTGCCTCCACTGAAATTGTTTTGGTTTTCCTTTTAACAATGGTATACAACTGTATTTTTTTATCTCAAAATAACGATGCAATTATTATCCTGGTCAATTTGAACTATTGTAGTTTGTGGGGAAAAACAAGAAAAAAATCTGTCAAACCACAAATTTAGGAGGGATCATGGGAATTAAATCTAAGATAAAATATCTCAAGATCTTTTATTTCTGTGGGTTGGTATCTCTGTGGTAGGTAGGTTCACAGGCATCATAAGTATAGTCAGTGTTAATAAACATACCTATAATTCCTAACAGAAAAAAAATGCTTTTGTTTTATCTACTATTCACTTGACTAGCAGGCTCTCAGTGACACTGAGATGGAATATTTCACTACTATTTAGATAAGGAATGTGATGTATTACCTTAATTTTGTCAAAGTATGGCAAGTCTTTAGTTCTCTCTTTTTTGTTGTTACCGAAGAGAAGTTCCTCCTTAAAACCAACCATTACTCCCTAGTGCACAAATTTAAAAACAAAGTATGGAGTAAGACAGTCTGCCAGGGCTGAAAACAAAAGAGTGCAACTATTCATCATATCATGTTTTGTTACGTTACATAAAATTACTATGGTGTAAGACATAATCTGCCAGGGCTGAAAACAAAAGAGTGCAACTGTTCATCAGATCACATTTTGTTACCAGACCCCCTATCTCTTTACACTATTTAAGACTCTCAAACCACTCCAAATTTCTTCCTTACCTCTTCATTATATTTAAAGAAGTTGGCAACAATGGTAACATTGTCATACAGAGTACTTTGTTGATCAATAACCTCTTTGATTAGATCTGGAGAAAAAATGGACACAAACAGAAAGATGTAGACCTGTTATACCCCTCACAGAAAAGGACTGAATTCAGTAAAGATCAATATAATTATAATTTTTTGCATATTGCTCTCTATAACTCCAATGATAAAATCTTGACTCTCAACTATGAAAACCCTGGAACAAAAATTCAAAAGCAATCTCCCTTTTTGTAGCATCATTGCTAGACATGTGCCATAATTTTCAAAATAAAGCATAAAAAAGGGCATAATTATGCAGGAGTAAAGCTGACACAAGCACAGGTACAATGTACAAAATATATCTTATGCAAAATGTTATACCTCCAAGACCACCTGATATAATAAGCACAGGAACTTTCTTCTCATGAAGTTTGACAAAGAACCACTCCACACCATCTCTAAATTGAGTAGAAATATCCAAACAAACAGAAAGTAGTCCAGTTATTTCAGGGTATATGTCCCAATTTAAAATAACATAATGCAATTGTTGTAAAGTTAAGCATAGTGTGACAAAGCCTGACAAACAATTCTAACGTAAGCTTTGATTACATAATTACAACTGGAAATATGATTTATGTGTAACCCTTTGCTGTTAGAGTAATTTCGTGAAAATATTCCTACTACGTGTCGCATGGAACATGGAAACTTGTACGTGTTTTCTGCCTAAAAACAATAGCATGACAAAGCGTGACAAACAATTCTAAAGTAAGCTTTGATGGCATAATTACAACCGGAAATATGATTTATGTGTAACCCTTTGTTGTTAGAGTAATTTTGTGAAAATATTCCTACTACATGTCGCATGGAATATGGAACTTGAACGTGTTTTCTGTCTTAAAACAATAGCACGAAAAAGCGTGACAAACAATTCTAAAGTAAGTTTTGATTACATAATTACATCCGGAAATATGATTTATGTGTAACCCTTTGTTGTTAGAGTATTCGTGAAAATATTCCTACTACGTGTTACAAAAACACATAGGAACACTAGTTCCGCAGGATCTACAAAAGTGTCCTCCCTTATCTCTGAAATTGCGAATATGTGGTATACTTAAGTTGTTTATTCCAAGGGAAACTCGTATTATCTTTTGTATTTTGTATCATGTATGATTTAGCTACCATTGTGTATATAAGAACCTTGATTCATGCAATAAAGTAGATTCAGTTGATTGTAGAGCAGTTGAGTGTCCTCCACCCCGTGTGTGAGCTCGCGCTAAACCCAACGTTTGCCTAAGCATTGAAACAGCTCGACGCTAACCAACCCTCGGCCGAAATTATACTACACAATAAGAGATAAGTCAATTGCAAACTTATCACCTAGTATATGCCAAGTGAATGGTGCATGCATGGAGACGACTGATGACTTAAAATTGATCATAGTTCACAGAGCTTTGAAAACAGTACATTAATTATAATATTTTAAATAGAAAAGGAAAGCAATGTTGTCATGTTCACCAGGACTTTGTTTACCAATATAATATTACAGTCAAACTAAGTGAAGCGTACCCCTCAGGATTACATTAATGATTTGATTATTTGAATATTGAACCTGCTAATAGTTTCAGGAGCGCAATAACGAATTGAATATTTGAACATGGAACCCGCTAACTGTTTCAAGAATGAAATAATGGATTGATTATTTGAATATTGAACCCGATAGCCGTATTCGTTTTGAAAAGGCGCGGATTATTGTTCAAATCAGAAGTCCATTTCTGATTGGATTATGCGAACATATGATGATAGATCGGAACTATTTCAACATGGTGTCAGACGTGGGGGAAAGGCTAGTGTTGTGTAGAACTTCTTGTAAATGTTGTAAATGGAATGTTATCAAGAGCTTTATTTGCCTATTTACATCTTGACGAACTTGTAGAAATTCTTGTGTGTATTCATGGTCGAAAAAAATAGTTTAAAGGTGAAGCCATCGCAAGCCAGACTTTTTTTATTTTGTTAATATTTGCGATCGACTGTTTTCGCAGTGTTTTCACAATGCAGTTTGTTCATTTTCAGGATTCCTCATCAAATAGAATAATCTTATTGGACTTCAGAAATGGACTTCTAATTTGAACAATGATCTGCCCCTTTTCAAAATGGATACGGCTATCAAATTCAATATTCAAATAATCAATCCATTATTGCATTTGTGAAACGGCTAGCGGGTTCAATAATCAAATAATCAATTCATTATTGCATTCTTGAAACGACTGGCAGGTTCACTATCCAATTGATCAATTCATTTAATGTAATCTTGAGGGGTACGCTTCAGTTAGTTTGACTGTAATCTTGTGCTTTCCTCTGATCATGCATTATAATTGGCATCACTTATTTGTAGTTGCTTATTCAGACGAAACACTTCACTTATGGAGTACTGCAAATATTTTGTAGATAAAGCAAGATTTAAACTTTTTTCTTCATAATTAACATTTAGGCCTGAGGAATGTACCCATTCAGAGCTGATCATGCAACTTGGATTCTTAACACCAATCCCCTAGCAACAATTTCTTTCAATTCCATTGTCTTTGAGATGCAAAACTCATTCCACAATACTTGCACAAACTGCATTGTGCATATTGCTTGATGTGGTACCTTAGAGCAATGTGTGCATCTTTTACTATATCAGGTATTTGGTTTTGCTTGAGATTCAGCTCAATAATGAGTTCATTTCCTTTTGTCCACCTGACAGATAAAAGATTAAAATGTGAGTAACTATAGACAAACCTGAGTGCAATTGGTGCTCCTTCCACCATCTGAGAGATATCATCACTCTTCAAACCAAGCTCAGTGAGTAACTCGTGTGACTTGGTCCACCTGAGTGTTTGCATGAGAACCACAAACTCTTAATAAATTACACCTTGACGCATTAAACATATAACCTGAAATACCTGCTGTACTACCTTGAGTAGGGTGGCGGGGGCACTTATTCAAAATTTTCTTCTTAAAGGAGGAGCATATATATTGTTCCCATGAACTGTTCCCATTGCAGTTCAAGCTTAAAAAGCTACGATAAAGTGGTAATAGAAACAGGTTTTCCTTGTATCCCTACTATTTTAAAAAAAATGACACAGGAGGGGGCAAGGCAGCTAATTGAGAAGGGTGCTTTACAATGTTTGGCAGTAGTTTAGAAGGGGTGAGGACTTTTTCATAAGAGGGGGCAAACTTGAGCAAGTTTGCTTATTCAAGGAAATAGGGTATGTTTAACTGGTCTTTAGAGATATAGGATTAAATTAAACATTCATTAATTTAATAATAATTAATAATAAATAATAAATAATAATTTAGCACTGGACATTCCACTGGGTGGCTCTTCTTGTCCACTGTTTCTGGATCAAATTGGAATTTAAAATGTTGGTTTTTGCGGAGGGAGGAAAACCAGAGGACCCAGAGAAAAACCCTCAGAGCAAGGACGAGAACCAATAACAAACTCAACCCAAATGTGATGCCAGGTCCAGGAATCGAACCCGGGCCACAGTGGTGGGAGGCCAGTGCTCTCACCACTATGCCATCCCTGCTCTCCAATTACCATTAATGTTAATTAACAGTTATTGAATTACATGTTACACACCAGAAGTCATGAACATTGAATGTTAGCAGCACAAAATTGTTAACAATGTATTACTTTACTGAAAGTTTTGATGTCCAGCTTAAATAAATAGACTTTGATTTCCATCACTGACATTAAGTACACATATTCATTATGTGTCTTTATAATGCCATACAATTCCAATACACACGTCATACCATTCTATCATATGGGGTTCTTTTTCAGCTGATGAAAGATTCCTGAAATGTCAAGATTAATAGGAATTAGAGAGCAAATAATTATCTGTATTAATTAAACACTTCTATTTCCTTGTTGTATCTATATTTAGTACATTCATGTAATGAAAGAAGTTATTTTAAAACAATAAGTCCTTACGATGAGAATTCAATTGGCATGTACTTTTCTTTGAGTTGTTTGGCCTGAAATGGAAATGATAAAAAAGAGAATTCAGCACCTGCCTCTTAAAAGCAGTGATTATGATTAAGAAGCAATGATTAAGAAGATGCTTCACAAGTTTTCTTGACATATAGCTGTGATGGCCCTGAACATTTTCAATAAACATAGTCTATCATTTGTCATGTCTCAACTAAAGGTTAGACCCATTCTGTAAGAAGCAGGCAATATTAAAAAAAATGTTGTTAAGGAGAGGACCATTACATACCTACATGTACATGTAGTTCTTTACTCATTTCATAGGAGTAAAACTCAATATTAATTGAAAACATATAGAACATGTCACCTTCTCTCTGTATGATTCTGGGAACTGCTTATAGCTCTCAATCACACCTGCGATTAAAGATAAATCTCTGTGTGACCAGATTAAATCAAGCACATTTTTACATACAAAAATATAGTGAGGGAGTGTATGAATCATAAGAACAAATCAGTCAGTGAACCAAAGCAACTGTGATAAATATAAAAATGTGACACTGGGGTGACAAAAGCTATTAAAAATCTTTTAGAACTCAATGTCTCGGCCATGAATGTAAGCCTTCATGAGGAGTAATAAACACATAATGATGATAAGTTATTTCAGAAGGCATGGTTGATTAATTCCAATAGAGTCAAGGCTCTGTACTCTTAGGGTAGGTAATGCCATTATCGTGGCTGAGTGGACTATTGCATGTGTCATTTTCCCAAGCCTTTATGAGGTGTCAGTTTGCCAACTTGTGTTGGTATGTAATAAGATGTTGTGACCTGATTGTAAACAATGTTCAGTGGGTGCAGATTTCTTGGGATGTTTTTGTTGGACACTTTTTGGTGTTCTCTTGGCCCAGTATTGAATTTCTGATTGGTCTCCCCCAATGTAGTTTTTGTTGCAATCTTCTCATGGACTGGAGTAGATTACACCACACACTTGATCTTTTTTGGAGGGGATCTAAGCTGCAAATGGTTTGGTGTGGCTTTAAGGCAACTTTGATGTTATATATATGAGAACGATCCTTCGCAGTAGAGCACTATTTGAGCAATAGTGGAAATCAGACCTGAAAAAAATTTCAGGCCTGTACGGGATTCGAACCACTGACCTCTGCGATACTAGTGCAGCGCTCTACCAATTGAGCTAACAAGCCAACTGGGAGCAGGCCATCAAATTAATTCGATATAAACCCGTAGATGATAAATCAAACAACAACAAACATATGAAACATATGTGTGAACTGATTTCCACTATTGCTCAAATAGTGCTCTACTGCGAAGGATCGTTCTCATATACGTCTCATAACCGCAGTTCACACATATGTTTCATATGTTTGTTGTTGTTTGATTTATCATCTACGGGTTTATATCGAATTAATTTGATGGCCTGCTCCCAGTTGGCTTGTTAGCTCAATTGGTAGAGCGCTGCACTAGTATCGCAGAGGTCAGTGGTTCGAATCCCATACAGGCCTGAAATTTTTTTCAGGTCTGATTTCCACTATTGCTCAAATAGTGCTCTACTGCGAAGGATCGTTCTCATATACGTCTCATAACCGCAGTTCACACATATGTTTCATATGTTTGTTGTTGTTTGATGTTATAACTGTTCAAAACCTGCTTTATCCACTCTGTTGTTCCCTTAGTGTATGGTAGGACACAAAAGTTCTTAATGTATTCTGGCACAGCTGCTACACGCTGCTGAGGTGACCGTTTCAGTTAGCCATTCGCCAACAGCGCTAAAGTCACTTGTCACTCTTTGGATCGATTGTCACTAATGGTCAGAATATTGTTTGTGTGATTGGTCAAAGACCTCACAAAACACTTGTGAGCGATCAGGTGATGCAACTCAAACGCAAGATACCTATCCAGGTCGGTGGACTTGTGATAGACCTTTACTTGCAAGTTGACCATTGTCTTGTCAACAAACAGAAACTTTGATTAAGGCTATTTCTCTGTTTGTTTCTCTTTGCACTGTGAATTGGATTGATGGCTCATTGCTGTTCAGGTTATCTTGCAAGTTTTGTGTAAGGTCAGCCTCAACTGCAGCGTATAAATCATCAAATCATGTCTCCAAAATCAAGGCTGGATAAGAGAGGTGGACAAAACTCACCATTTGAGGTTTTCTATAACCAGGTTGGCTATGATGGCTGACAAAGGAGAGCCCATACCAATACCAAAGATCTGTTGGTAGTGGGTGTTGTTGTCCTTAAATTTGTTGTTGACAAACAAAAATCTAAAAGGTCAACAATGTCCTCAATAGGGAGAGCAACTGTACTACCAGGTATTTTAATGTAATTCCCAAACAAAAAAAGGAACTTCATGTAACAAACTATTTAAGTACAGATTCATTTACAATACAGTCTCATCACAGTATTCCAACAAATAAACTACAGTTTAAGAATATTGAAATAAGAAAGGTATAAGCTTTTTAAATTACCACAAACTTACCATACACTGTGCAGCCTTTTACCCCATCAATGACAAATTTTGTGAGAGTCTTATCAAAGTCTGATATTATCTGTAAAATTAATGGAAAATTATTTAATCATATACTTTGAAAATTGGCATATAGGCTAGTAAAAAATCCCTAAAATGGTTTGATAATTCACATTATAAAATACAACACAAACCTGCAGCTTTTCAGGACCTCCCTCATATAGTTTTTTGAGTTTTTCTCGTACACCAACAGAATTTCTGATGTAGACATTTGGCTTGTCAATGCTTTTTACCTGTAAAAAACATATACCCCTGAATTAAAAAAAAAATAATATAGTCCAATGGATCAAGACAAATTATGCCAGGCTGGAAGTAATGTCACCCATCCCAGTTATCTTAAGAACTTCACAATAAGCTTCCAAAGCATCTTGGTTAACCTTAAGTTCCCCTGGTTTTGTCTGCCAATTCAGTTAGCCACCATTCATTTGCTGAGCTTGTAGATGGTTATTATACAATTATGGTTGTTTGTTCTCTTGTGGCTCTTATATTTCAACAACATATTTGTCCGTATCTCATGTACCAAATGACAGGGCCTGCAAACTCTGAAGGTTAATTCCCCAGCCCTGAGCTGATCAAAGTCTGATCTTTAGTTAAACAATGGACAACGAGGGTTTAAATTGACTTATTGTGCATGTATTGAAAAGCACTTTAATGTTGAGTCTTGCAAACAGATATAGGAAAATAATAAGAAAATACGCAAGTTCTGATACCACTAAAATCAGTTTGGTACTGCGTCTATGTGCAGGTATTCCACACAAAATTAGGGGATCACAACCAGCAAACACTTGATTGGTGTACCAAGTATAAAATAAAAAGCCAAACGAATAAATTCAGCAATTTAACAAAACTAAATAATACATTTTTAATGGAATAGAGGCGATACGTTCAAAGTCTATTTCAAACGACAACAAACATATGAAACATATGTGTGAACTGCGGTTATGAGACGTATATGGGAACGATCCTTCGCAGTAAAGCACTATTTGAGCAATAGTGAAAATCAGACCTGAAAAAAATTTGAGCTTGTTAGCTCAATTGGTAGAGCGCTGCACTAGTATCGCAGAGGTCAGTGGTTCGAATCCCGTACAGGCCTGAAATTTTTTTCAGGTCTGATTTTCACTATTGCTCAAATAGTGCTTTACTGCGAAGGATCGTTCTCATATACGTCTCATAACCGCAGTTCACACATATGTTTCATATGTTTGTTGTTGTTTGATTTATCATCTACGGGTTTAT